ACACGGATCGACATGGCATGGATGAATGGGGAAATAGCAAATGAGACAAAAGAGGTGGAAATTTTACCTAATGAATGGGCAGATCACAATCCAATTCAGATAATATGGAAGGGTAGGGCAAAACCAAAGAAAAGATGGATGTTACATACCCAATTAATAAGAGAAAAAGAATACATCAACAAACTTAAGGAGGAATTAAAATATTTTTTAAAAGAAAATGATAATGGAGAAACCACGAAACAAAACATTTGGGATACAATGAAGGCAGTAATAAGAGGTATAACAATCTCTCATAATGCCAAGAGAAATAAGGAAAAATATGCCCAACAAAACAAATTACAACAAAGAATTAAGGAACTAGAAACTCAATTACAGAATACCCCAAAGGATCCAAAACTGCAAAATCAGTTAGTGATAGCTAAACATAAATTGAACTTAACTGAACAAGAGAAAATGATTATGAATTTGAATCTGACTAGACAAACTTATTTCGAGCATGCTAATAAGCCAGGAAGATGGCTATCTTATAAATTAAAAAAAAGGAAAGAAAAGAGATTGATATATCAACTAACAGACAGTAAGGGGGATATACAGCAGGAGATAGAACAGAAAAAAGAAACCGCCCATAAGTATTTTGAAGATTTATATAAAAAGGAAGATGTTAATGAGGATAGAATAAGGAATTATTTAGATGAAGTGAAGGACAAAGCAATTGGGGAAGAAATGGTAGAACTATTAAACAAAGACATTACTTGGTTGGAATTGAAATCAGCAATAGAGAACCAGAAAAACAACAAAACCCCGGGCCCAGATGGGATTCCAGGGGAGCTGTACAAGGCAATTGCAGAACAAATTGGACCTCTTATGGTAGAAGTTTTTAACGATGTTTTATTGGCAGCCAGGATGCTGGACTCATGGAGGGGGGCACTGATTTCGCTGATCCCGAAGGAGGATACGGATCCCAGATATATAAACAATTATAGGCCGATTTCACTGTTAAACACTGATTACAAAATATTCATCTTTATTATAGCAAACAGATTAAAAAGAATGTTAAATGTGCATATACATGAAGACCAAAATGGATTTCTCCTGACCAGACAAATCAGGAACAATTTAAGAACAGTATTAGATGTCCTAGAATTTTATGAAGCTCACCCCGAAAAACAAATTGCACTTATGTTTTTAGATGCAGAGAAGGCTTTCGACAATTTAAATTGGCAATTTTTAATCCAAAAAATGTATAATATGAACCTAGGTACCAAATTTGAAAATATTATAACAACTATTTATGACACACAACAAGCTAGTATTATAATAAACGGGGAATATACTTGCCCATTTAAAATAGAAAAAGGAGTTAGACAGGGCTGCCCACTTTCACCCCTGCTGTTCATATTATCATTAGAAACATTATTAACGCGAATTAGATGGAACCCAGATATAAAAGGATTAAAGGTTAAGAAAGAAGAATATAAATTGCAAGCATTTGCAGAAGTTATGATCTTTTTTATTGAGGAACCAATAGATAGAGGACAAAATTGATTAATGAATTAGAACAATTTGGAGCAGTAGCAGGACTAAAAATTAATAGGAAGAAAACTAAATTAATGACTAAAAATTTAACAGAAAAACAGAAAATACAGTTAGAAGAAGTTATGGAAATACAAGTGACAAAGAAAGTTAAATACTTAGGAATATGGTTGACAGCACATTGCAAGACACTCAAAGAAAATAACTATGACAAATTGATGCAGCAGGTAAAGAAGGACTTAGAATCATGGGGTAAGCTCCACCTTTCATTACTAGGTAGGATTGCTACCATTAAAATGAATATTCTTCCTAAATTTTTATACCTATTTCAGACGATCCCAATTAAACTACATACATTTTTTTTGAAGAACTCAACAAAATAACTCTTAAATTCATTTGGCAAGGGAAAAAACCTAGAATAAATGTAAAAGCAATGCAGGATATGAAGAGCAGGGGAGGATTGGCACTTCCAAATTGGGAGTTGTATTATATTGCTGCCTCTTTAGTTTGGTTGAAGGAATGGGTGAATTTAACCAACAAGAGAATATTATTTTTAGAAGGCCATGATTTGCAAAGGGGGTGGCACACTTTCCTATGGGATGTAGGGAAAACTAGTCAAAAATATTTCCATAGACATCTAATCAGAGACTCAGTATTAACTAATTGGAAGAAAATATGGAAAAAACACTATATAAAACTACCAATCTGGATTTCAGCAATGGAGGTGATGATTCACCCAAACAATTTGGATATCACTAAAATGATTAAATATAAGGACCTATTGGACACACAAGGAAATTTGAAATTGAGGCAAGAACTTCAGGAGCAAGGACAAAAAATTGATCAGTGGGCATACCTTCAAATTCAAAGTAGATACAAACAAGATAAGAAAGAATTCGGAATCAACAACAAGCTCCAGCAATTAGATAAAATTTTATTAGGATCAGGCAAAAAAAATATAACAAAATTTTATAATTATTTATTAGAAGTTGAATTAGAAGAAGAAATTGTAAAAGGGAACATGATTGCCTGGAGTAGGAATGTAGGACGCAGCATCACCTTAATGGAATGGGAAAAGGTCTGGGGTAGAAACAATAAGATCAGAAAATCGGTAGCATATAAGGAAAATGCCTATAAAATGTTTTATAGATGGCATCTCCCTCCTTAGAGGTTAGCGAAGATGCACCCCAAAATGAGTCCAATTTGCTGGAAATGCAAAAAAAAAGAAGGAACCTTTTTCCATATGTGGTGGTCATGTATAGAAGCCCAAAGTTATTGGAAGAAAATCAAAATTTGGCTGGAAGAAATGACAAAAGAGCAGATCGAATACAAACCAGAGTCCTTCTTGTTAGGGATCTTTGACAAACAAATTTCCAAAAAAGTGAAATACATAACAATACACATCTTAACAGTGGCCAGATTAGCCTTCGCCCAATGTTGGAAGCAGCCTCAGGCACCATCAGACGAAATGATCATCCAAAAAATCTCAGGTTGTGCAGAAATGGACAAACTAACTTTGGCACTAAAAAACAAAGATACCTCAATATACTACGATAGCTGGAACTGTTGATACAATTGGATTGACCAAAGATAGATTTTACACTATAAGGTGAAAGAGGATAGGATAAATCTATAGCAGTGATATATAGATATATGTAAAGATTAGGTGTGTGTATATGGCATAAACTGAGGGTTATGGGGAAAAAAAGAGATCTTACAAACTGTGGAAGATGAGAATGTTTTAAATTGCTTTCTATTCTTTCTGTCTATTTTCCTTTCTTTTTTCTTTCTTTTTCTTTCATTTGTGTTGTTGGTTTGTTTTAATTGTAAAATTAATAAAATTTATTTATAAAAAAAAAAGAAAGAAAGTTCCACTCTCCCAGGGTCACATGATCATCTATTGCAATCTTCCCATATGGCTTCTTTCAATGGGGGAGGCAAGATTTGCTTAACAACTGCCTGATTCACAACTGCAGTCATTCGCTTGACAGCTGTTGCCAAAAAGGTCATAACATGAGGTACAACTCACTTAAAAACTGCCTTGTTTAGCAGCAAAAATTTGGTCTCAGTTGTGGTTGTAAATTGAGGACTACCTCTAGCAAGCTCTGCTAAAAAAACAAGCAAACATTTCTGCTGGTAAGAATCGTCAGCAAACAAGTTAATTTGCAGATGATGCAATGTCTTTATTTATTAAATTAGGTGTTCCTACTCCTGCAAGGACAGAACTCTTGGCAGGTTTTAAGAAATAACATTAAGCAACTGTGGAACAACAGAGAAAACATCCATGAAACGAACAATTCAGAACTGAAACAAAGGGAGATTTACATACAATGGCATTATTTGGAAATGATGATCTTGAGAACCAGTTTGGCATAGAGGTGAAAGTGTTGGACCGAAGCCCAGGAGGCAGTTAGTTCCAGCCTCCTTAAAACTTGGAAGCAAGCTGCTGGGTGAGTTTGGCCATCTCTCTCTCTCTCTCTCTCTCTCTCAGCCCAGCCCACTTCATAGATAAAATAGAGACAGGCTATGATGTCTGAATAGAAATTTAAGACAGAGAAATGGAAAACTATATTGGAAAAAGGCAGTGTCAGATCATTTTGTACAGATAATTCTTGACCTACAACCATTCATTTAATGACCAGGTGAAGTTAGAACAGCACTGAAAAACTTATGACCTGTTTTACAACCTTCACAAGCATCCATGATCAACATTTGGATCAGGACCCCTCCAAACTTGGCAATTTTAAGACTTGTGGACTTCAACTCCCAGAATTCCTTAGCCAGCAAAGCTGGCTGGAGAATTCTGGGAATTGAAGTCCACGAATCTTAAAGTTGCCCAGTTGGGAGACCTCTGATTTGGATGCTTGGCAATTGGTCATTTATGATGGCAACAGGATCCCAGGTCATGTGATCTGCCATTTGTGATCTTCCCAGCCAGCTTTTGACAAGCTAAGTCAATAAGGGAAGCTGGATTCACTGAACAACTGCAGTGATTCACTTAACAATCATGGCAAAAAAATTGTTAAATTGGCTGCAACTCACTTAACAACTGTCTTGTTTACTAACATAAATTCTGGTCCCAATTGCAGTTGTAACTCAAGGACTATCTGTACTGCTATTCAGAAAACCCCTTGGCTGCGTTCCTTAAGTCACCAAAAACTGAATTTAGCTCAAAGGAAAATTTTAATATCCTAAGTATGCTGAGGTTTCTACTTTTCAAATTTTCTGGGACTGTTCTTCAAAGAACAGTTATTTTTGAATTCTTTATCCAGGTTGATGAACACAAGATCTTCATTTTTTTTAAGCACCTCCACTTCTAGCAAAAAAATTCAACCTTGAATGTCTACTCCACAGCATGTTACTGTAATTAAATCGGATAACTGAATCAACCGTTATATTCTGATTACTTCTGTCGGCTTAGTACTTTAAAAACATAACAGGAACAGTTCTAGATACTTGTCCCTTACCTTTTCTCCTATACAGAAGGAATTGGGTTCCTAGGAACCATTTAATTGCAAATCCAGGTAGTTTCCCGTCATGCCAGATTTTTCTTCTGTTTGCTAAGTTCCTTAGTATTCTGCTTGGATTTGGGAGCGTTCAAAACCTCTCCCTTTTTTTCTCCAAATCAATAAATTAAAGCAAACCCCAGAACAGGATTGAACAAGTATGTTCAATAGGAGAAGAAACATTTATTACCTATTGCTGGTTATCTTTAAGATAACCGGCATCTTTAAGATGCCAGAAGACTCACAATGGTGCCTTTGAGAACAGGTAAGGAAAGAATCCATTCTTATACGTGTTTATCCAGAAACAGGTCTTTCAGTGTTACTTGGGACTTATTTCCTGCTGCGGGGAGAAGTTTAACATGAATATCCGTGTTAAACTTCTCCCTGCAGCAGGAAGTAAGTACCAAGTAATACTGAAAGACCTGTTTCTGGATAAACACACATCGGAATGCATTCCTTGCCTGTTCTCAAA